CCATGCCCGCCGCCCGCTCCTCCGTCAGCCCGCGGCGTCGCCGCTCCGGACGCCCGGCCGCCGCTTGCCCGAGTGGCACCTCTGGCTGGAAGTTGGGCCCCGCCCCCTGGCAACCACACCCCGCACTGTCGTTCTCCCTGATTGGTCCGTGTGCCAGAAGCTTCTCTGTCATTGGCTACTGAAGGCAGGGGAGGCGGGAGGGTTTCCAGAGTTGGGGGAGGGACTGCGGGAGGAAGCAGGGAGGCTAACGGCGCATGCGCCAAAGGCGGGGTCTGGCCAGGGTTAGAGGAGAGGGGCCGGGGGTGCCCGGGGCTGGCGGGGGTGCCCGGGGCTGGCCGGGGGTGCCCGGGGCTGGCCGGGGGTGCCCGGGGCTGGGCTGGGGCTGAAGAGGGACGGATGTGCTGGCGGCTGAGCCCCCCCCAGCAGCACCCACACCCCGAGAGGCTGTCTGCCCCCCTCTGCACGGAGGCCGCCCGCAGAGCTGCCAGGGCCCGCAGACCTCGCTTGGCCCGGGAGGCTTTGTGGGGAACCACACGGGCACCCCTCAACTGCACAGCCCTCCTTCAGCCTCCCCTGGAGATTCCCCGGGGATCGGACCCTCCTCCCCCTGGCCCGGCTCCTTCCCACGCACCCTCGGGTCACGGCCCTCCCGGAGTTTTCATGCTGATGTGAATGCATGAATCAAAACGTGCGGAAACAGAACCTGGCCCGAGGGTGGCGGGGCGCTGCACCCCGTGCGATCAGCCTGCACCGCTGTGACTCTGGAGCCGTCCCCCTTGGGAAACTGGCAGCGGGCATGTCTGCTGCCTCTGGCTGGGCAGGATGCCGCATGGACAGAGCTAAGACCCTTTGCGAGTCCAGCCCAGACAGGAAAGACTGCGAGACTCATTTCCAATGAACCACTTTAAAAAAAATAAAAGCCAGAAGTGAAGCTGTAGCTCAAGTGGTAGAGCACGAGCGTTGAGAAAAAAGCTAAGGGTCAGCACCAGGCCCTGAATTCAAGCCCCTGTACACACACACACACACACACACACCCTGAATTCAAGCCCCTGTACACACACACACACACAGTTTCAAGTGGTTACAAAAATCCATTTTGCCACCCAGTTTAATATGGGCAGATTGGAAACAAAACCTCGAACTACAAATCTAAGTGATTTGCATACCTGCGGCTTCCACCTGCCCCTCCTGCAGGCCACAGACAGGAGTCTCGGCTCTGATTCAGCGTGAAGAAGTCACTGAAGACAGGAGACAAGACAGACATTCCTGGGATGTGTGGTACTGCGACGCTGACAGAAGCAGCTTTCTCTAAACTCTTTCTGCAGCCATTTATTTACAAACACTTTATATACAAGATGTATTTACACAGTCAATGTAAGAAAATATGAAGGAAGTTCATGACATGAAATTGAACGGTTTAGGACAGACAGTATGCCCACGGCACATCCGGGAACCGAATTCCTGGAAAGCTCTAGGGCTCTAGTCTTCCATGTTCTCTCCCTGCGACTCTGTGAAGGGCAGCAGGTCTGGGATGGCTGGGGGGGGGGGGGGGCGGGCGGGCAGCTCTTCACGAGGCACTGGCTCTTGCTCAGCTTCCCTCTCTCGGCTAGGTAGGCCAGCAGGTGCCTCCGCCTCCGCCAGGTGACCTTCACCCCGTACTTCTCCTCGGGAGTGTCTTTCACCAGAACGGGGCCGGGCTCCCGGCTCTTGCCAGTGGGGGTGCGGAGGATGTGGGTGGAGAGGCTGTTTTCCTTCTGGTCTGGGAGGATGAGAGAAGATGCGGGGGTCTGGATGTCGGGTGGGATGAAGACATGAGGTAGGCTGTGAAGAGACGATGCCGACGCTTCCGCGGAGCTCTGGGGGCTGAGCAGGGGAACTAAAGGCTTTCTTCTGGAAACAGCCTTTTCAGGCTGATGGGGGTCCTGTGGGATGGGCGGGATCCCCAGCGTCTCTGAACTGGGGGACCGTGCAACCTCGAAGGGCAGCTGTGGAAACCTGCCGGCGGATTTCCGACTTGAATGTCTTGCCGGGTGTCGGTGATGCTTCCGGCAGGCAGGGAACTGGCACTCTGCTGTGGTATCAAACTGTGGTAAGACCTAAGGGCCCAAGTTAAAAAAAGTGACACAGGCCAACTGCCAAGTGAAGTACCTAAATCTCTTGGGTACTAAGAAACAGCACCTACATCCAAAGAACACAATACTTCTTTTAGTTGTGTCCGGAATCAGAAATGAGGTTGTAAAATAGCAATGGACACAAGACAAAGATACCGTCTAGAGAAAAGAATAGGAAAAGCTAACCATTTTGGACGAGTCATTCATCATGCCTAAGAAGGGACAGTGGGTGGGGGCACCAGTGGCTCACACCTGTAATTCTATCTACTCAGGAGGCTGAGATCTGAGGATCAAAGTTTAAAGGCTGCCTGGGCAGGAAAGTCTGAGATTCATATCTCCAATTAATCACCAAAAAGCTGGAAGGAGCTATGGATCAAATGGTAGAGCACTAGCTTTAAGCAAAAAAGCTCAAGGACAGCACCCAGGCTGAGTTCTAGCACAGGCGCGCACGCAAACACGCGCGCGCTACTGTGCAGACATGACTTGCTTACTGTCTCTCCTTAAAGTTCATACGGTAGGTGTTCAAGAAACAGCTGCTTTTTTAAATTTGCCTGCCATTTATCTGACTTTCTTGCCCAGTAACTGAGTTTACACTGAGCTTTTTCAGAAGAATATGGTAGGGAAGACTCCAGTCCCACTCACATCTTGGTTTGAATCAAGAAAAAAATAAGATATGCTAGAGAGGACGGCCATCCTGGGCAGGAGTAGGGTTAGGGTAAGAGCTCAAGATCTTTGGAGGCTCTGGTTCAATGCAGCAGCCAGCAATCAGAAGAGCAGGGTACAAATGAAAAAGAGAGCTCCATGAACACACCCCTTGGGCTTACCCAGGAAGTGATGGAGCTGCGGTCGATGGGCTTGCTGGGCACCTGGACTGTACGTGTGGCTGGAGGCTGTGGAGAAGCATAGTGGTGTTTGGGGCCCTCCAGTGGCTGTTGCTGGAAGAGCAGCTGGCCTTTCAGGGACCGTCTTTGGTGTCTTTTTTTGGGAGGCATAAACAGGTAAATGAAGAGCAGGTGGTAACCACATGATGCTGGCTGCCTTCAGGTTGGGGGTCAGGCTCCAATTTCAACCCATGCCTGAAGAGAAGTAACAAAAACAATTCAGATGATCCCTCGGCTCCTGCCAGTCAAAAAGTTATAAAGGACACAGCTTCCTGTACCTTCACTACACCAATCACACAAACACAGTGTTCATATCGGACCACACTCAGGGAACATCTGTGGAGTTTAGTGCTGTGCTGGGTGCTGTGAACTGAAGATGGTTATCATTTGTTTAACAATCATTTGTTGATGTCCTGGTCTTTGAAGGAGCTGAGAGTCAAGACTGGGGAATGTAGCTCAGTGGTACAGTGCTTGCCTATCATGTGCAAAAATCTTCGGTCAGATGCACAATATGAAGACCTATTTATCTATCTATCTAGAGAAGAGGAGAGAGGAAAAAAGAAGGAGAAAAGAAGTGGGCAGGAGAATGGAAGACAACAGAAGTCAGTGGCTCACGACTAATTTTAGCTACTAAAGAGACCTGGAGTATCAAGGTCTGAACCAGCCCAAGCAGAAAAGTCCGCTAGACACCATTCTCAAAATAACCAAAAAAAGTCAGGCTGGAAATGCAGTTTAAGTGGTAGAGCACCAGCCATGAATGTACAAGCTGAGTGAACACAAGGTTGGCTATGAGTTTGAACACTGGTACTAAAAACAGGAAGGAAGGAAGGAGGGAGGGAAGGAGGGAGGGAGGGAAGGAGGGAAAGAGGTAGGGAAGGAAGGAGGAAAGGAAGGGAGGAAGGGAAAGTGGGAGGGAGGGAGGAAGGGAAAGTGGGAGGGAAGGAAAGAAGAGCTGAGTATCCAGCAGAAGGAAACACTATTTTAACTCAATAAGACTGAAATATGTTCTATTCACGTCACATGAGGCTTTCTAGACAACAACCAAAGTATGAGCCAACCCATCCCAGCACTCAGGAGCCTTCAAGTCAAGGTGAGTCTGGTCTAAGCTAGACCTTGTCTCACAAAACAAAACAGCTGCCTTGTGAATTCAAGGAATTACCAATTTAGAAATCCAAAGTTTAACAGGTCGAGAGGTAAACAAAGTCTAAAAAGAAGGGCCAGATGCTGGTGGCTCACGACTACAATCATAGCTCCTCAGGAGGCTGAGATCCGAGGATCATCATCTCGGTTCAAAGCCAGCAGGGGCAGAAAAGTCCTTGAGACTCTGATCTCCAATTAATCCCAGAAAACGCCGGAAGCCATGCTGTGGCTCCAGTGGTGGAGCAGCGCTAGCCTGGAGCAAAAGCAGCTCAGGGGACAGCGCCCAGGCCCACAGTTCAAGCCCCAGGCCTGGCTCTAAAAAACCAAAGTGTCCATTGGATCTCGTGGCCGGATCAACTTCAAGGAGAGCTTCTGCAGAAGGCTGCACACACACTTTCTGGGTGGGTTTGAACCCAGAGACCTTCCATCTTGCCAGGCCGATGCTCTCCCGCCGTGGCCGCGTCTCCAAGCCCTGCGACCCGACCTGGAGCGCTGCCCCTGAGGCCGAGCTCTGGGGGGCGCAGAGGCCCTGCTCCGGCCCCGGGGCAGTGAAAGGCGCCGGCCTTGCCTTCCGCCTCTGCCACGGGGTGCGGCCGGGAGGCCGGGGAGCCCAGGCCGGGCCTCGGGGGGAGGCTTGCTTGCGTGGATGGGGAGTGGGGGTCGCTCAAGTCGAACCAGATCCTCAGAGAGGCCGGGCACCGGGCGATTGACGACTGGGGGAAAGTGGGGTGCGATTCCCCCACACACACCCCCATCCCACCCCCAGGAGAAGGACGGACACGGACGGGAATGAGGGGGGGCGGGGAGTGAGGCCTGCGAAGGCTG